GTCTCAGGACTCTTGGCCTTTACAAGCACAAAATGCTGAGAGGCTTCTCAGCGCTTTCTGGCTTTCCAGCTTGAAAGGCAACAAAGCGAAACCGGATTCCGTTTTCAGATTTGAGTCTGGCGTTGTTTGAAAACACTGGTTAGTTTGGGTACGCCAGGGAACAAACATTGAAAACATGATGTCTTTTGTAGCTTTCAGCTCTGAAATCTGCACAAGCCCAAAAGCACAAAATCTCCAGAAAATGACGGCTCTGAGACCTGCGCGTGCCAAAAACAACTCCAGGCCGATATTGGGAGTGTGGGGATATTTGCTCAGCAATTGTTGAGCCGCATTCAATCGAAATCGTATTTGGGAATGAGCTATGATTAAAGTTTGTGCGGAAAGGCCAATTAAGTTCTTGCTTTGAGCGGCAACACAAAGCATTTAGCAAGGACATAGTTAACCACAATTCATAGTTCACCTAGAACTGTAGTAGGAGTTCCTTTCTAAATGAAATAGGGACAATTATCATTTAAGTGGCGTTTTAAGAGACTTTAAATCAGACAGATTTCAATTGGCTTGGCAACATCAGCATTAAATGAGGAGCCCCTTCCCGAATATTACTTGTGTATCACAAGTCCTATCGCGCAACTTCTTGTTGTCTAGCAGGATGCCTAGTTGGCATCTGCGTCTGTGCGTCGATGTTGGGTGGGACTAGCTTGTCCTGTATCTGCATCTTTGGCCGCAGGCTGCGTCGAATGTACCTTGTGCCTTTAAGGTGCCTTATCATGTGTTTGAGCTTCTTGTTGTCAAACTGTGTTGGCAACTGCACTGATCTTGCTAGTTCCTTGGCTCCACAGCTGATATCTGGTCTTGTGCGCGCTAGCCGTTGTGTCTTGCCAACAAAGCGGCCTGGCATTGTTTGCGCAACTCGCAGTCAAGCGGCGATTCATCTTCTGCTGCACCTGTCATGTGTGACGCTCCAGTTGCCTTTGTGTGGGATGTTCCTGCCAAGGAGCTGTCTTGTTCTTCTTACCTTGAGGTCGCCGGAATCTCTCGGCAGCACTTCTTTCTGCATCCTGCTGAACAGTGTGCTGATGATGTAGGAGATCGTCTACATAGGTCACCATGTAGACTGGGCAGTCTTTTGGTCTGTAGACATTGCTTCCTGTCACGCGTCTCAACTTCACGCGTGACTATGAGGATGTGTGCTATGTGGTCTTGAACCGTAGATGGCTTTGTTCAGCCGCCGCACGATGTGTTTGTTTGCTTCCTTGTAAACCTCTTGCGGCGGTCTCACTACCAAGTTGTAGGAGTGCAACACTGGCATCTCCTGCAGAGAACCCATCTTCATTGAATGGTGGTTGCTTGTTGTTCCGGCGCCTGTTGTTGCCATCAATCTCTGTAAAGACTGATTGGTCTTTCTTTTATTGCACTTCCTTCGTCATGCCTTGTGGAACGAGTTGTGCATCCAAGCCTTCGGTGTTGAGTCATGTAAGATTCTCTCTTGAGGCGGTGGTGCTGGCAAAGCTGGCCACTTCTGATGCGTTGATGACGTGGTCATTGGTGGTGTCGGCTTTCTGCTTTGTTTGCTGTTCACTCTGTTGCGCTGTGTTCTGTCTCTTGCCTTCTGCTGCTGCGCTTGTTGCTGCACGCTTCTGTGTTGCAAGTGCTTTGCTGGTTCTGCCACCGGTGTTGGAAGCGTCGGTACAAGCAGTGCGGATGCTGGTGTTGCCATGGACCTGCGTTGACACAGTCCAGCAGTTGTTGGCATTATCTGCCCTCTGATTGCCCTTGCTCTGACAATCCTATTGTAAATCTCGATGGTTGGCCTGCGGCTCTCCTTGCAAAGCCAAGTTCCTGTCAAGAACCTCGGCTTGAGTGATGGAAATTGTTTGATTGTAGGCGCCGCGCACTGCACTGTCTCACCCAACTTGCAAAGCTGTTTGTTCTCTGCTCCCTCTTTTGAAGCACCTTGTATTGCATGTCTGCTCATGATGTACGCGCTGCGTCGGACTATGCAGGCATGAGTGGGTGTTCCAAAAGAATGTCCCTGTTGTAGTTATGCCTGACCCGTGCTTTGAATGTTCTGGTTTGCGCCAAACAATGTCCTGTGCGCTCGTTCCACTCCTCCTCGTGAGTGTGAGCTGTACGCTCCTGAGTTCCTTGTGGCGATGTTGCGTGGCCATGATCAGCCCAGAGCGGATGTCAGTTACAATGAGAATTGGACGTACGTTGCTCTCCTCAAAGCCTTTGACGTAGCAGAAGTCGAGCTGTGCGATTGGAGTTCTGTCTGCCTCTTGCTTTTACACGTGTTGGACACCAATACCTGTAAGGAAGGTGTGCTCCAGTGGTGTTGGTTGCCGCGCCTTGTTGTTCCCCATCATCTGGCCCGAGGTGTGTTACAAAGTCTTGGTGTTCCATGAGGTTTGCCCAGCCTGTCCAAGGCCTATCTTATGTCTTTGCTGGCTGTCTTCATGCTGCGTGTGGCTTGAAGGGTCCTCTTTTCCAGTCTAGGCCTTCTCTGTACCAGAAGTCTCCTCCAGGATGTACTTCTGAGGGATGCGAAAATCCTTGCCCAGCTGCGCCTCTGGCGGTGTGTGGCGCTGCTGACTCCTGAGTTGTTGGTTTCGTTTTCTTTTGGGCCGCGCGTGGGTTGCACCGACGCACTTATGGTGTGACCTTCTGCGGCGCGCGTTTTTAGTTGTGTCTTTGTTGTAAGCTTTTGCTGCGGTGTCTCTGGCAGTGCTGCGCCTTTCCTGATCCTGAAAACTGCTGCTCCTTCTCACATCTGTTGTTGCGCTCTGTTTGGAACATCCATTTTTTGACACTTGTCCTCAAACGCAGTCGTTGCACCCTCCACCCTTGGGTCTGATGGTTGTTCTTCTGTAGTCCTCAAGTTTTTTCTCTGTTGGAACTGGACACTGTGTTGTTGCTGGTGTGAAGTGTGTCTTCCCCTGTCTGTGTACTCTGACAAGTTCACCTTCTATATTGAACTGCCAGTAGTCTCCTGCATATCTTGTGTGTCTGCTTGGAGGAAGGACAGGCCGTCTCTGTTCCTTCGCTGCGTTGTAGTCTTGGGTTGTCGTCCACTGTAAGCTGGAAACCTTGTTCCACCAGCCTTGTAACTGAAAGAATCGGCTGTTAACCTTACAAACTGTTGCCCGCTGTGGTTTGTCACGCAAACCCATCTGTACCTGAAGAGCACCCGAAGAGCTTGATGTGTTGGTTGGTCATGACCCATCCTCAAGTTGCTGTGTTCCTTTGCTGAATCCTCGCTGTCCTTGTCCAACCGGTTGATTGCGCTGCTTGCCTTTTTTTTAGTAGTTGTTGTAGTGGTAGTTGTTCCCGTAGCCGCCGTAGCCTTTGCCATTGTTGCACTTTCCCTCGCCGTTGCGCTTGCCTTTCTTTCCCTTGCCTTTGTTGCACCATGTTGTTCCTGTGTCCATCGGTGCTGGTCCTGGATGTTGTGGTTGCCTGATGCGATTGCTTGTAGCCTGTTGAATGATGATGCTGCTCTGTAGTGCTCTATCACCAGATCTAATTGTCGCACACGTTGCGATGTTTCCTGCCTGCAACTGCAAGCGCTGCTGTAGTGGTCCTTTTGTCTCATTGGGCAGTACTGGGATCGTGACTGCATCTGGTAGTGGTGCGTTGTTGTCTTGCGCGCACTTAGACAGTCGGAACTCCCATGTTGCGAAGCTCTCTCCGAACTTCTGTTCGGCAAGTTGTGGTTCTAGCAGCCGTGTAAGGTACCCAATGCTCCTTCTACCAAGTGGTTTGGAGCACCTTGCATGTGTCAGCCGCCATGCTCCGAAACCGCCGCCTTGCATGTTTTGTCTGCATGTTGCAGATGCTGGTCCATCGCACGCGCTCACAAAGATGTAGTCTAAGTTGTTGCTCAGTATCCATTGTTTTGCTACTGCCTGTGAAGGTGCTGCATTCTCAAGTTGATCGTTTGTAACTTGTCCTAGCGGTTGCCTGACTGTCTCATACGCGGGGTATTGTAGTCCAAGGTATGCTGTCATCTTGCACTTCCATTCTTCGAAGGCGTTGCGTTCTCCTGTGAAGCACGGCGGCTATATTTTGTACTTGGGATTCCTTCAAACTGTGCAAAATAGTCGACATGTGCGGGTGGGGGGCCGCCCGCGCCTCTTCTCTCTCTCACGTTCAGTTTTTCCAGAAGTATTCTTCATCCCCAAAAGAGATGAAACGCAACAAAGTCTTTTCTGCTCGAAAACAATTAGGACTTAGTCTGAAAAGTCCTTGTTGTTTTGTCTTTTTTGTCTGGGGTTGTTTGGTGCGGAAACTGTCGATTTGATTGCGTATCATTTCCGCAAAAATGTTCAGCCGACAAATTTCCGAGGGGTAGTGGGTGGCCACCCCAAATGTTCAGGACTAGGAATGAAAAGGGGCTACTCAGTAGCGTAAGTATTGCCAGGCCCGGCCAGGTAGTTTCCATTCTCTCTCTCCTCTTTTCCAGCCTTTTTCTGTGAACCGTACAAATACTCAGTAATAGAAACGAAGAACGGGAACCAAACTGTTGAAACTTGTCCAGGCGACAGACTAGGGCAACGTCAGTACGAAGGCAGCGCAAAGACAATAAAGCTTCTAAACAGAGCCGGGCCAGGCCAAAGGACAGCCATTACAAAGCAGAGAGGGCCGAAGTTGACCGAAGAGGACCAAAAAGGACCGGAGAGGACCCAAAAGCGCCAAAGAGAACCGAAGACAACCGAAGCAATACTAAGCCAATGCTAAACCAACACAGTGCTGTAGCAGGACAAAGCAATACTAAACCAACAACAACACAATACCAATCCAGCACTCGGCCAATGCTAAAATTGGGGAAGGCCAATTTGAGCGCCAAATTGTTTTTCTGGTTTCCTATCTGGGTTCGAAAGTGGTGGGGGAGGGGTCAGTACCCTTGCACAGACTTCTAAAGAACAAAGGCGGATAATTTTCCGAGCTTTGCGTAAGCTGCGCGGGCCCCCACGCCAAAGCCGCCACGCCCCAAGCTGCAGGGTGTGTGCGTCCATCTCCGGCCTCCGCTTGCTGACATGGCGCCGAGTGCCGGTGGAATCCGAGTGCCTGGGAAAGACGGCCGCTTGCCTCAGCTTCATTCAACACCTTCCGGAGAGGGCAGTGGTCGCGCATAGTGGAGGGCTTCGCTGGGTGGGTTTCAGGGAGAAAAGGCTAAGACACCGGTAGATAGAATCTGGGAAAGCTGAACAGTGTTTTCCAAGCATGCAGCTCCTGTCGCTATTAAAGGAACATACCTGAAAGGCCATTGAAGGCTTGCTTGGCACTTCAAGGCTGAAAGCCAACATCCCATTTTGCTTTCCCATTGCTTGAGCTCTTGATGTGTTGGCGAAATAACCCATTCGTTTGCTGAGGCCAAGGATCATGAGCCAACCATCGAGCAAGCCTTTATTGCTGCGGAGGGTGCTTGGACACAAGACTCAAGCAGGTGACCGTTTGGACCCTACTTCGATGGCACGAGCGTGACCCAAGGTGCTCTGAAGACCGACCTGACCCGCTTTGAGGCTGCCTTGTTTGTGCTGCGGAAGAGAGCGGCAAACCTGGCGTCCCAGCAGCCGGGCCTGCCTTTCTATGTGCCCCGGCAGCCGTCTGAAGCCACGTCTCGTCTGCGTGTTTTTTAATCGTTTGGAATATGTGAGGAGGTAGATGACACTTCCTTTTCAACGCAGGGCTTTTCCATGCAGGGGTGCCGTGACATTTCCAAATGTTCGGCGTCTGCGTATGTGCGTGCGTCCGTGTGTGTGTGTGTGTCATAGCGTCAAATGGTCGAGACCAGGGTGTTTCATGTTGTGTTCGCATTGTAAAGGACCTGCAATTTGACCGCCGTTTGCGTCTTCCGCCGGCTTCTGGGGCTTCAGGCAGCCAGCTATGCGTTCTTGCATGCTCCTGCGCTGCTTGGAAAAATGCTGTTTAGCGAAGACTGAGGCGCTTGCTTGCGCGCAGGACACCCGCAGAAGCAAGCAGACTTGCGCGTGTCTTGTGGCTTTTTGTAGCGTGTAGCTTCGTTAGTGGTGTTCCGTGCACGCGACGTGGCAAACACGTGCAGTTCTTGTGTTGTTCGTGCGTGCTTCTGCCCTGTGTTTAGTGAGGCGCCTACTTCACTCGCGGCGGCAAGCAGACGCGTGCGTGTCTTGTAGCGCTTTCTGGTGTGTAGACTCGGCAGTGTGGTCATGCTGTGCTTTAGATTGTGTTCCGCGGGGCCTGCCAAGCCACAGGACCGACTTCTTCCTAGCCCCCTAGGCGCTTACTTGCGCGGAACGCCTGCGGTTGTTCTTGCGCTCCCTGAGGTTGAAAATCGCGGGTCCCAAGTGACCCCGGAACACACCTAGTAGGTTCCTGGGATGGATCTACTCCAATGCGGAAGGAAATTATGCATTAAATGGCCAAATGAAATTGTATGCAGTGTTTGGTTCCAACAGAACAAGTGTCAGCTGTGCCACAGTCAGCAAAGTGGGGCTTTCTCTCTATGAGCTAGAGGCGCAAAAGCTGCCAGGCCTTGAGCCAAGAAATGGAAATGAGATTGCTGCATGAGTGGGTATTATGAATCAGGCAAAGAGCAAACGGGAAAGAACATGGACGCAAATTTCTTTCCACCCAGGGCATCTTGGATCCTAAAGAATACTGCCATTGAGCGATTTAATCAGTCGGCTCATAAGCCTAGGGCGCACGGAGTAGCGCAGTAGCGCATTGGGATATGTGTACTACACGGGCTCAGACCGGTGTTGAAGCTGTAAGTAATCTGGGTGAGTGTAGTCACGTATGTGCGCGGCAAAGATAGAGAAGACACTCACTACACCTAGGATCATTGTGAGAAATTCCGTTTGCCCAGGGCAAAGAGAAACGGAAATGCTATCTGGACACAGATATGGGCTCCACCGCAATCTGTTTCATCTTGGGAGTTGCTGGTTACTCCCTAGCCGGAGTATCCGCGCTCCTTCTTTCTTTGTTGTTTCAGCGCTGCCTCGGATACAGCGCCGTTGTCACGGAGAACATTCTAGGTTCACGAGTCCCAAGCAGAAGCTGCTCATTCGTCGGTAGCTTGTGTCTTCCGCCTGGGCCCGCCTTCTAGTCAGGAAATATGTTCCCCAGTGGTTGGTTTTCATCTGGTTCGAAGTCGTCGCTTGTGTTGTGTTGTCGGAGATGTCGTGTGCGGTTGGTCTTTGCCCAATGAAAGGCATGGGTTACCAGGCGATCTAGGGCGCCGTAAAACCCCTCATGCTGTGCTGGTTTGCGTCTGCGCTGCTCGATCATCGGTTCTGGTTGTCTCCGTCGTTGTTGACTGCAATCCATGTTGAAAGATTCTTAAATACGCTTTTCCGTGTGATGTAAGTTCTTGGACGCCGCATGAAATTCTGCCTAAGTTTGATTGCGCCTGTCCTCCTCCATGTAGTAGAGAGAATCGCTTTCTTCCTTTCTTTCTTATATATTTTTGGGGGAGGCAACACCGGCAAGGTGGAAAATGGTGAATCCTGTATGGATTGTTCTTGTCAAGCTTGAGTCTTGATTCTGTCAGCTTGTTCATGATATCCGCAGCTGTTTCATGGAGTTGCTGCGCTGTTTCCGTCCAGTCCTGGGAGCATAGGAGACTCGTCTTCTTGTGGATCTGTCCTTGGTCACAATTACTCTGACTGGCTGCATCTTCATGGTTACTGTGACTGTAATTCCAGTTGTAACTCCAGCTCTTCCAGATATAAGATGACCAAGACTCTTTCCAGTTGCCTGGAGGCCGGATCAGCTGGTTCTGAAGCTTCATGCTTAATTGATTCTCTTTCCTGCTCTTGCTTCCAAACATGATTGTGGAATTGAAGTACAAGTCCAGTAGAACGATTCTTCTGCGGGAGATTTCGGTCACGTGCTTCCCATAGGTTACTGGTTGTAGTTTTCTTCAGCTCCCTTCCGGATTCCTGCTGGCCTACGTTGAAGTACATGTTCATCTTCCTGACAGACGCCTTTTCGCCAAACTTCTCTTCATCATTGTCGAATTCATAAAGGAACAGTGTAAGGCATGGAAGATGTTGTTGTAGTTCATGAAAGCAGAAATCTCGAATATTTCCGTGAAGCATGTAGTCTGTCAGTTCGACGACATGATTGTGGGTTCTGCCTTTCTTTCCCCGATGGCTTGCCGGAGTTACGTATCCTTCCTGGATGTTTGCTTTCATCCCGACCTCTGTGGAAACATGGGCAGGTATGCTTGCCGTGAAGCTTTCTTTGCTGAACAACTTGTCGATCGTCTCGAGATGTTTTCGAGGTTCACCTCTGTGTGTAATGGCCATGCAGGTCTGGTTCTTGGAGGCGGCAAAGATGGATTCTATGGGGAGAAGACCACTGATGCCGCAAAATGAACGGATCATCGCAACTCCTGGGACAACAGTAACCACGTATGCTTCCGTCAATTTTTGTCTTCTAAGAGGTTTATGCCTGGGACTGCTGTGAAGGTTCTGGATATCTTCTCCTGAAGGAAGAGGATCAACTGTGCAGTGACCGATGTCTTTTTGTCGTTGGCCTTAGGAGTTCTGCCGTTGCCTTCGCATTATGATGTGTCATAGACATATCGGCATGGCCTTGGTAATTGTTTACTGTGGGAACAATCTGCATGTGCCACGGTTGTGGCTCACCTCACGCATCTCATGATGTTGTTGATGGATCTCTCGCACTGAGGATATCCCTTGCGGTCATCGTATCTGTCTCCAACCTGGTCCCAGACCTTGAAGAATAGTAGGCCAGGGACGCCCTGACCGTGATGGTAGTAGTTCTGTGGAAGATCTTGAAAGTTCGGTCGAACACCGAACACCATTTATGAAATGACACATATGTTAGAACTAGGAGATTGCTGCACTGAAGGAATCTGCATAAGTCGTAAACGAGTGTCTTTGCGGAAGCTGATCTGGCTGAAGATCTTCTGGGTCTTGTTCCTGCGTAGGTTCTCGACGACGACGTGGTTGATCATCGGATTCCTCGTCGCCCGGTTCTTCATCATTTGGTTCATCAGTGGCGTGAACAGATCCCTGCAAATCTTCTTGTTCGTCTTCTTCATCATCGGATTCTCTCTGTAGCAACTTTATGGGATCTTCCTGTTGCCCTTCCTCGGATCCCAACTCACTGTTCGGCTTCTGAGGAGAAGCTGTCAGTCCTTCCGGATCTTGCATGTCCTAATCCTCTCCGATCGCTGATTTTTCCTCTTCCGGGTGAACTGCTTCCAGCGCAGGAGCTGGATCTGGAGGTACATCTTCCTGCGCCCTTCGTCTGCCGAAATTTCTCCACATGCCGCGAGATTGTAATGCGCAGGGGAGTAAATGGCTACGGGAGCAGACACAGAGTTCTTGAGTCAGCGGTTCTGACAAGGTCTTGAGGTTCGTCCAGTTGCAGGGAAAGCAAAGCGGTTCATGGTTCTTCAGTGCAACCATCACTGGATATCCGCTTCGGTGAATGCCAGAAACGGTGTACTGCGTATGGTTTATTCTTTGCCAAGAAGGTGAAAACGCAAGAAGCATTGTGTGTGTTGTAGGCCATTCAACCAGGAACGCCTTGTTCTGAATCATTGCCCTGAAGAATGACGGATTTGATGAGCTCGTCGGCCTTGGCAGAGCTCTGCGTCAAACAGCCTGCAAGACAATATTCTGAACGTACATGGGCACGACCATGAATGTGACCACTGGTGCTCTCCTTACGAAGCATCTGGATAAGGCGCATGTCTGGTCTTACCCTGGCCAGCTTCCTCACAGACACACTTCCGACAACGGCGTGCGTTTGCCGTTTTTCAGCCCTGGCCATGTCTTAACACCGTCGGCCGTTCCTTTCCACTCAAGTTCCGCCCACATACGCTTGCGCGGCTGCAAAATGCCTTGGCAAACGCCTTGGCCAGGCTCCCTCTGCCGCTCGCAGTCATCCAGTTCCTTAGATGGAAATGTTTTGGTGTCGACTAAGCCAAAGACTTCATTGTCTCACCAGGATTTGCGCTCCAGAAGTTTGGCTTTGACAAAGTGTTTGTTGCGCGCACATGTTTTTGCTGGGCGGGTTCTGCCTGCTTCTTGCCAACGAGCTGTTGTGTGCGGTTGATGAATGCGTAGTCGTTGAGGGCTCGGCGTACAGACCCAATGTCATATTTCCGGGTTCAAGCGTAAGCAAAGAACGAAAGAGAACTATGGGCCGCTGTGGATTGTACTGCCTGAATCCTTGTGGTCGCGCGTCAGTTGTGTCCAGCGGGCTTCATCTACGACGGGTTCTCTGAAATTGGCGTTTTAGCCCAATCTTCCTGAGGCGCTTTGACATGACGAAATGGGCAGTGGTGGAGGATCGTTTGATGCTGGCCTCGAAGTCTTTGTTTTCTGAGGGCTGCCGTCCTTGCCCTCGCTCTTGCGTTTCTTGGTGGACGCAACCTGTTCTTGCGCTTCGTCATCATCTTCTTCCGGAACTGGCGGAAGAGATGGGTGCGTCCGTTGTGGTGGTGGTACGACAAATTTCGGCTACATTGAAATTGCAGGAGGCGTTGAAACATCGACCAACAGCCGGTTGACTCGATTGAACAAGGAAGTTGGATGTGCAGCTGCCATGGACGTAGGTTGTTGGGTGCTCCTTGAGTGACAGTTGCTGGCGCGCAGGAGTTTTCAAGTTCCTGGTAGAGAACATTTCGCGCGAGGCTTACCATATTTGGCATTCGCCTCCACCCAGTCCAATAGAAGAAGTTTGCCACCCAATCTTGACTCACTGTATTTGTGCCTGCCTCCGCAGCCATTTGGGCACCAGTGTGCTTGGCTAGCGAGCTACAAGGCTCAGAGTCGGAGGTCTCTGGCATCTGGCGGATGATGATGATGCGACGCAAGATACAGCGCGAGGCGGACGAGCGCCACGCTGTCAGGCAGATCCTGCACGGCTGTCTTGAGATGGACACGAGTGCAGCTCGCGCTCAGCAGAAGCTGGCGAACGCTTCCACCCCATTCACGACCAGGAAAAGAAGATCTGTCAAGATGAGGGTGGAGCTCCTGACCGACATCATTGAGACTTTGAAGAGCAAACGCTTCATCGAGACCATGATAGAGAAGGAGGCCAAGATTGACAACCAGAAGATCATGGAGAGATTTCCGTCGTCGCAGACTCCCAAAGAAAAACTAACCAGAGGACGATCGTTAAGATGGCGAAGAGTCCGACCTGCAAACCTTGCAGGAAGTCTGCGAACGGCAGCCAGAAACATGTTACCCGACCAGGCTCCTCATCGAAATCAAGAAGATCTGAAAGTGGTGTCGCAGAAGAAGATCAGAGCGCGCGCCAAGGTCCTCACCTCACTCCTAAAACTCACACATGAGCCAGTCCTTGAGCATAAGTTGGGCGCTTCACTTCCATCGTGACGAATGCTCAACACGCGGCCGCAAATCTTGGCGGACGGGCCCAAGGCTGGATGGAAGAGTCATCAAGGAGATCCCCATCAATGAGAGGCCCACGGTCAGGTCTCCCCCACAACAGGTTCACGCCTCGCGCATCAATGAGGCCGACTCAATTTTCTATGATGATGCCGCGAACAGCGAGAAAACCGTCGCCGTCAAGGCGTTCATCAATGCAGGCTTCAAGGGTATAGTTCAGCGTTGGAGACAGGGGCAGTTCTTTGTTTCGTCGGATCCATGAAGAGGAAGGGCTACCAACAGTCGCAGCTTCCGCCAAGAATTTCCAACGCCGTGCCTGGGCTCGTCGCCGCCGCCTGCAAGGTTGAGACACACAAGTCCAACACGTACCCAAGCACGGATGAGTTTGATGAGCGACATGATCGCCGAGCAGGTTTGTTGTTCGCAACAGTTGGAGTGTTCCAAGCCCATCCCAGGCAAGCCAAGAAGAGTTGAGAAAGTGACTCCTTCCACTTGTCCTCGAATATTAATGCGATCCGCTCACCCGAGATGCCAGCAAGATTCCCCCAACACCCACAGCAAGTTTCAGCACGTCTAAGCGCGGGCCCATTGGCGTGGCAACGCGAAGGATTCGCACGTTTTGAATTCCGTAGCAGGCGCAGGTTTTTGCAAAGTAGGCGCGGGACTTTCGTGATGTATAGATTTCGTTGCAGGCGCCACACTTTCGCAAGGTTAAGTACAGATTTCGTGGCAGGCGCTGCGCTTCCGCAAGGTCAAGTACAGATGTCGTGGCAGGAGCAGCACTTTCGCAAGGTCAAGTACAGATTTCGTGGCAGGGGCATCACTTTCGCAAGGTCAAGTACAGATGTCGTGGCAGGATCATAGGTAGATAGATAGAATAGGTGGAGAGAGAGAGAGAGAGAGGTAGGCAAATATATAAATAGATAGATAAATGGCTGGATAGATCTGGAGCGAGAAAGAAAGACAGAAAAGAAAGAAAGAAAATAAAGAAAGAAAGAAAGAAAGAAATAAAGAAAGAGAAAAAGAAAAGAAAAGAAAGAAAGAAAGAAAGAAAGAAAGAAAGAAAGAACAAAGATAGAAAGAAAGAAAGAAGGATAGGTAAATGCATAGATAGAGAGATAGCTAGGTAGATAGATAGATAAATACATAGATAGGTAGATAGATCAAATGGATGAGAGAGATAGACAGATAGGTAGATAGATAGATAGATAGATTAGATAGATAGATTGGATAGATAGAGAGATAGATAGAGAGATAGATAGAGAGATAGATAGAAACTAGACAGAGATATAGATGGATAGATATATAGATAGTTAGAGAAGAGACAGAAGAACGAACGGCGCAACCACAAGCAGAATAAAGAAAGAAAAGAAAGACACTAACCAACGAACACAAAAAAGAATGACGGAAAGAAAGAAAGAAAAAAGAAAGAACGAAAAGAAAGGAAGAGAGAAAAGAAAGAAAGAAAAGAAAGAAAGAACAGGAAGAAAGAAAGAATCAAAGAAGGAAAGGAAGGAAGGAAGGAAGGAAGGAAGGAAGGAAGGAAGGAAGGAAAGACAGAAAGAAAGAGAGAATGCCGAAGAGAAAAAGAAACAGTGAAAAGGAAGATGAAGAGAACAAGAATCAAGACAAGAAAGAGGAACATAACTATAGTTTTGAATTATTTTGAAACTTCCGCCCACCGGCTTCGCCGGCTCTACTGGCAAGGTCAAAAGATTTGCCTGTTTTGTTCTGCGTTTCGCAGACCATTGACCTTCTTGCAATCAGTTTCCGCACGTGTGATAATGTTTTCTCAAGGCCCTTTATTTCTTTGTTGTAGACTCGCATGCGTTGCCTTCGCCATAGAAAAGGGAGCTTGCTTTCAGCGCACTTGCTTCATCAGACATCAGGTTCTTGCCTGAAACAGACCCGGGCCATACAGACTGCTGCCACAGTGGGAATCTTCTCTTAGGGATGAGTTGCCCCGTTCGGGTTCAGGGGAGGTGACGTCAGTTCAGACGAGGCAAAAATCCGCGCCAAAGGACAGTTCTGCAGCACAGAGAAGAAACACAAACAAGACCACGCGCAAGAACGTCCACAAGAGACGCCGGCCGAGCCCGCGGATTGAAGGCCCGTTTTTGATTAGGTTAGAATCGTCAAGGAACCAGGCGCTAACTGAGGGGCCTCAGCCTTTTCCACATGATCCTTGTGCCGCCTGAGTGGACCAATTGCGAAGCCATCGGCGGTGCGAAGTCGAACAACTTAAATTTGTTGTTTGCGGTTCCTTGTCAACAGGCCGGCTCTAGCCCTTCAGCTGCGAGGTGTGTTCCTTGTCTCCGCGCGTTATCAACTACAAGGGTATGCTGACATGCCCAGGACAGGGACACGCCTTCAGCTCACGTAAGTTGTGCGCGTAACCTAAGCGCTTTGCAGTTTCCGCGCCACGCGCGTTGCAGGTTTGGTGCGCTACTTTGTGGACTTGCAGGAAGATGATTTCGAGTCCCACGTTGCGTCCCTTGATGGCGGGTAGGCGCAGTGAGACATGTGCGCGTCATTGCCCACAGCTATGTTTGATTGTGTCCTTGGCTCTGTTGGCTGCAATGTTGGTGTATCACTCCAGGACGATGGCTTTCATAGTCTTACCACGCTAGGGCCTCTAGGGATGCGCAATGTGTGCGTGGATAGACCCCAAACAAGGCAGCTGGCAGCTTGGCGTGAAGGTGGCCCACGCACTGTGGAAACACCTTGCCAAGGCTGGTCCATAGCCGCTTTTCCACCAACACCTTCCCAGCTTGGAGACGGGCGCACCCCTTCCGGCACATTTGCCACAATGGTGAGATCAACACTCTGAAAGGCCGGCTTTTCCCTTGAGCTGAGAATGCTTCAACACTTCAGATGTTATTTCGCTTCTACGCCTCGTTGATCAGCATGATGTTCTGATCTCTGAGGCAACGTGAACTTTGCGCGTGCCCGCGAGGGCCTGATGAGCTCCGAGCTGCTCGGGGCGGAGCTGGAGCAGTGCTTCCCCCTGATGGAGATGGCGCGGGCTCTCAGCGCATGGATGCGCGCTCCGGTCTCGCCTAAAGTGTCTTGGGCTTGGGCCAATTTCCCGAACCCAAGGATCAGACAGACAGCGGAATCTTCGACAACTTTCTGGAGGTGCTTGCGATTTCAGGTGCGGGGCCCGCCTGGCCGTAGGCATTTTCGTGTTCAACAGCATTCTGAAGGCAAGCCGCCGGGTAGGCTTGTCTTGTCAACTTTCCGCACGTCAAAGTTTCTAGGTAATGCCTTGTTTTGGATAGCACACGGGATAGTTTGCAGAAGTCTATTTTGGGGGGCGAGGCACATCTGACGCATATTTTCATTTCCTGGGAAAGGGCAATGTTGTTATGAAGCGGAATCAGGCTTATGAAATATACCACGGATGTCCCTGTTTATTGTATTGATGTCTCTTCTTCCTGTACAGCAAAGCGCTGCCGCAAGATCTTTTCACTGTCAGTGCATGGCTCGGTTGCGCAAAGCGCAAACAAGGGCCTTGAGCCAAGCGCAAAACAGACAATTTTCTTTCGACCCTGTAGCCATATTGCATATGTGTTCAGGCCGTCAAAAGTTAGACTGTTTTCGGGTCGTGCCAATACAGTCACTGCTCTTCTGTGACATGGACTTGTTGATCTTGGGACTTCGCGCAAAAGTTGGCGCCTGGTTGTGCCTGTTTGCGGTCAACAGGTCTGTGAGAATGTCGATTGGTCGTTGATGTCGTTGCGCGTGTCAGAGTTGCGATTTTGATTGGCAACTGCCTTGTAGCTGCTCTCGGATGCTGTGTAGTCGCACCAGGATGTAGTTCTTCAATCCGCTGTAGTCGTTCACCTTGTTGCAGTATCGCTTGTGGTCCTTCGACCCGGAGGAGTAGTAGTCCCTTTTCTTTGCTTTGGAGAAGCTTCGGATTCAAACCAGCAAGGGCGCGCGCCAGTCCCAATCGCCTTGAGCATCTCGCTGGTGACGTGCTTGAATCGCTGTGCAGAGGACACCTGATAATCTGAAATGACGATGCTCGAGCTGATCCTTGTCTTCTTCAGGCATGTTGAGTGATTCTTCCATGGGATAATCTTGCTGATCTTTCGTCTTTCCCTGACCGAAAACGAACATCCCCGCGCAGTCAGGAAAAGCCCTGCTGTCAAAATTCGACCCTCTCTCGGTGCGGAGGACAGGCCGGATGATGTTCTGGACATTGGTTGGTGAAACCATGGTGTAGATAAACGGTCGGTGGGTTCCATGGTTTCGCGTTGTTCGTTCCTCAAGCCCGCGTGGCTTGTGCCGCAATGTTGAACAACCCGCGGCCCGGTTGGAATACCGGCTGGAGCTTGCTGGATGTGTTGATGGAATTTTTCCGTCTTGAGTGATTGCATCGCACCGACACTCCATGACAAGCGGAAGTACATGCTTCCGCAAGTTTTTTTTAACAGCTCCAGAACTCGGGGATGGACATGGAACGTTCCAACAGTTGCAAATGGAAGTGTGCTGGTCGATCCTCTTCATTCCAATGGGGAGGCTCTGGCTGCTGTGTGCCTTGAAGTCTTCCAGCCAAGGGTATTCTGATGTCTTGTAGCAGAGGTGCTCTTCCGGATAGTTGGTATCTGGATCGGACTTGTGATGTCTGGAATCTTGCTGAAATGATCTCTTCCAACTGCTTCTTGCTGTCCGCCTCGGTGACAGGTGAAGCAAGATACTTCTCCAACTGGTGCTGGATGAAGTGCTTGGTGTTGGAAGAATACTAGAACTCCACGGTTGTGTTTGTCTCGCCTGGTCGGTTATGAGAGGTCACTGACGCATCTGAGTCGAAATTCTGATCGGATTGCTTGAGTCCGGCTGCTCTGCTTTTCTTGTTGTTGGTCTGCTCCCAATGTAGTTGAAGAACGATTGCTTTAAACTCGTCGATATGTGTGGTGTGTTGCTCAGCATTCCCCTTGTCAGTATTCTTTTTTCAGCATGCTGGTTGAGTCGTGTACGTGTTGCTTGTCGGATGTGAAGGCGGTCCCTTACCGTTCTCTTCTGGATTGGAGATCATTGCCAAGGGTTCTGCGCATGGATGCGACATTGGTGATTGTCTTCTGCGTGCCGAGCATGTGGTTATGGCGTACCACCGGAAGGAGGTCCACGCCAATTCCCTGGTTGGTTGCTAGCGATTTTGCAGCACACGCTGTGCGTCCGATGAATGTTTTTTATGTTGGATGGTGCGGATTGCAAGTTGCCTTGATGCCTGGTGCCGGGGCCGGAATTGATTGAATCTCGCCTTGAGGAAGTACGGCCACTGTCCTGATTCGCGGGAATGTGCGCAAAATCCGGGCAAAATTTATTTGAAGTCGTCCCATGATTTCCTTTGCAGGCGCATTGTGACCAATCTTGAGAAGATCGCCAACATGAAGTGAGAGAGCTCCATGGACTTGTTGATTCTGTGAATTGTTCGTTCGGCGGCTGTGTCTTGTCGGGGTCGTTGAATTGTCCGTTGCATGCCAGGCAATCGCGTGCTGGTGTTGTGTACTGCGGGTCTTCCACGCGCTGTGCCGAAAAAGGCATCTGAACACTGAATGTTGTCCCCCACTTGCGGTCCAGGATCTCAGGACCATGCTTTTGGATGAAGATCCGGGGGAGGTCCTTTGGATATGTGCGCTGTTGTGTATCGTCATCTTCACCAATGGTCTTTCATTCACGGGGGTGTCCTTGACTTCGCAACGCAACTATCATGCTGAAGAGAAGATTGACAAGGGGGGATGCTGAGCAACGCAAAGTTCGACGAGTTCAAGGAACGATCAGCCGAATTCGAGCGATCCGATCAGGGCTTCGACTCAGCAGTGTCAGTGACCTCTCATGACCGGCCAGCCGAGACAAAGACGATCGTGGAGTTCTATTATGATTCTTCCAACACCAGGATTATCCAGAACCTGTTGGGGAAGTATCTGGTTCCACCAATCGCCCAGGCAAACTGCAAGAAGCAGAGGTCAAGAACGAGTTCTAAGAAGATCGACAAGTACACTTTGTGGAAGAAGGTCAATGCTTACGTGACGATCCTTGGATCCCTGCCACAGTCAACCATCAAGCCGATCCATGAGCGCAGGTTCGAGACTACGTGCGGCTTGTGTACTAGACTACGTGCGGCTTGTGTACCTGTGTCAAGGGTCCAGTCACACTGCACCATTGTCCTGCTTCTCCTACTCCTTTGGGGATTCCTGTTCCGGTCCCACGGTCTACAACACATCCGTGCCTTCTTTGACTTGAACCCAATCCAGGTGGACGGAATGGCTGTCTGAGCTGCACCTGTGTCGAAATTGAACCTGACCCATTGCACGCTCTGAAAAAACTCTTCACTGGTCAAACATGCCAACGCCATGCTCACCTTCAGGTTGTTCTGCCTCTTCTTCTTCCGCCTCATCAATGCATTGGCACCTTGGACTGACCCTTACCTTTAGGCTTTCCGCCTTTGCTTGAGCGTTTGCCTGAGCCTTTGGAGCCTTTGTTTGAGCCTTTGTCAGGATCTTTCTTCTTTCTCCAGCGGTCTGCCGCTCTACGTCCTAGTTTACCGCAATTGAAACATGCCTTAGCTTTGCCTGTCGATTGCCCTTTTCCGTTGCCTTTGTCTTTTCCTTTGCCCTTGCCCCGACCCTTGCCCTTGGGTCGATTCTTTGATGATGCTGTTGATCGCCTGCGTAAGACTGTCAAGCTCCATTGGAGCGGGGGAACTCGCCCTTACGATTATCCCTTTGCTCCGACCGCCGATCCAGGACCTCAAATTCAGCCTTCAGGTGAGAGCGGGTGTTTAACCGGTTCTTGTTGAGAATAAGGTGCTGGAACCATCATTTCCAAGGCAGCGCTCTTTATGTCATCCGAAAGCCGCCTGTCTCGGACTTACGGCTTTTATGCCTCCGGGCAACATCGCCCAGCTGTTCGATTGCTGCCCTCACAGAATCCCAAGATCGAACCGTTCAGGATTCTAGATAGCGAATGGTTACACAAGAAAAGAAGCGAAAAGTGTTGTTGGCAATATCTTCACATTTGGGTTTAAAAGCGTCGAGAGCTCGAGAAAGGGAACCTTCCCCGCAAGTTTACAGCGACAAATGAAAATTGAGCAAGTTTAAATTGCAGAATTGGGTTCGCGCCACCACCATGGAGGCGGCAAAGGGCATAGATGCATACGGCGCCGATGCCGGGTAACTGCAACCTGACGCGGGGCAAGCCTACACCAAAGCTTTATTCAAAATTACTTAGACATGGCTACGACTTCCCATTCATCGCTGGCTAAAAAACTCAGCCAAATCAACACATTAAAGGACCCTAAGGTTCAGCTTGTCTTTGCGCTCTGCAGTCATCCTGGTTTGGGGGGCTTGCGGGAAAAGTCTGCGAAGATATTCTCACGCCCTTTGAATTCCGTATCATTATTCTGGACGTTTTCTGTCATTCTAAGCTACGTCTTGTTTGCTGTGAATGGAAACAGAGGCGCGTCCTCACCCTCTATTCTAAGCGCCCTCGCGGTGAATCTTGGATCGCTGACAAGGAATCCCAAGTTGTCTCATCCGTGCGCGCCGCTCTTTCTCCGGTGATCTTTATGTTGAAGCTGTTTTCTGGAGAGAAGGCCAGAATGATCCTTGCATTCTTCCTGTCGGAATGTTCAGAATTGTTCGTTATTGATTCTGACGTCATCGACGCATGCCATGTGAACGTGCTGGCGGCCGGCCATGGAGTTCCACTGCTGGCTTCCATCCATTGTCCAGCTCGTCATCGCTGGTCACATGAAGGTCGTTGCTGATGGAGGCAGGAGCTGGCAGCTGGTCGTCAAAGTCTGGATTGGGCTTGCGCTGAGCAGGCCCAAGAAGGCCGACCAGGTGGAAAGCCAGAAGCTCCAGTTCGAGACGGCTTCTGCGACCCTGGGCAACAAGGCGAGATATATCCAACACACGAGAAGACAGTGAGGTTGTGTTCATGTGTACCGGCTAGCGGAAGCCATGATGGTAGAGTGGTAATCTTTGGATCCAATTCGGCCCTTCCTGATGGTCACAAAGACTTGTTGATGGCGAGATCGAGTGATGTATGTTCTCGATGCCAAGTGTGCTGCGTATGGGTGCGACACTGGTGATTGTCTTATTCATGTCGAGCGTGTGGTTACGGTGTACCGTCGGAAGAGTG